TCTGGGCTTGTATTACTCGTGACATCAATTGATGTAATTCTACATAGACAAGAATTTTTGATCCTGATCAATAACAAATATCGCTATGCCAAAACACTTTCGTGCAAAAGTTTCGGAGCGTAGAAGGGCGGCATTCACTTCCCCTGCTGATGAACTGGCCGAATTACAGTTTGGATTTTCTTGTACATCCCCAGAAGGGTCACCTGAAGGATTTAGCGCGTCATTTCAAAAGGCAATCGATGATGAAATATTATTTTGGACAATGTCAACTGCAAAAGCTTCCGACTTTACTGATTATTCATATAAATCGAAGCCTACAACATTTTTAAGGACAAATTTTCCTGGCGATACATCATATGATCATATTTATAACACACCAGTACGAAATAGGTCAATCTATACATCTTCACTTGGAAGCACTCCACTTGGAAGCACTCCACTTGGAAGCGCTCCCCTTGGAAGCACTCCCCTGAACACTTTTTCAACCGATAGGGCCAGTTTACATAGAGATCGATCTAAATATTTGAGATCACCATCGATTAGAAAATTTAATAGATTTAATGCAACACTCAATGATTGTAAACAGCAAAAAAGCAATAAAGACGTGATACTTATTCATACTTCTATGACAACTCCAGAAAGAAAAGTTCCATTCATTTCTCAGATTAAAGATGATGTATTACAATCTAATTTAGATTCACCACTTTACGATGAATTAAATGATGAAGGATATTCACCATTATTCAGTTCACCCATAACAAAACATTCAATTCTCGATAATGATGTGTCGTTTTGGGCACCTACTGAGTCAATCAATGAAGATTCTCATTCTAATATTGATATTGAGTCTCCAGTCTTAATACTAAAAAGACCAAATGTCTCCACACCAGTTTTAATGAAAAAAATGGATAAGGATTTAAAACCTTTACCATCGATGATCAACGAGTATGCAACTAAATATGCACATATGCTCGATAAAGCTTATTTCCAGAAGTGCGGACATGAAAATAGAGGTATTCATTAAACAAATTATTAAATCTACAGTCAGACCTTGATATAATCACTAGGTTGGGAAATATGAAGATCAACATTTATGTTTTAGAATAGCCAGGACTGAAAAATAATGTAGCTATAACAAGGTTGTGGCTATAATGAGGCCTGACTGTATTTTCTTAAAACAAAAGCTCCTAATGCACGTTTTATTTATAGAGTTTAACCACCCAAAATCTTCCGAACTAAATGAAATGGATTATTTTAGTTCAAATTTCTATACGATTGCTGTTATCGGATCCGGAGAATTCTCTGTTGCATATAAGGTGGAAGATAGGAAATCTGGAGTTTATTATGCCATTAAAAAGTCGAAAAATCCATTCGTTTCTCTAAACTCTAGATTTCGCTCTTTGAATGAAGTTGAAATCATGTGGCAGCTTGGATCACATCCAAACTGTGTCAAATTAGTTGCCGCTTGGGAACAACATGGTCACCTTTATCTCCAAACAGAATTATGTGATAACGGTACACTTTTGGACTTCATTAATAACAATATTCTCAGTGAATCTCAAATTTGGAAGATATTTATGGATATTGCTCTTGGTCTTAAACACATTCATGGGCACGACATTATGCATTTGGATTTAAAACCAGATAATATTTTTATGGCGTCAGACGGAACTTTCAAAATTGGAGACTTTGGCCTTGCGTCAACCTGGCCAGCAAGTCCTAATTTGGAGAGTGAAGGAGATCGGAGATATCTTGCTGCTGAGGTTTTGAATGGACGTTATGATAAACCTGCAGACATTTTTAGTCTTGGAATGGTCCTTTTGGAAATGGTTAGTAAAACGCCACTTCCACATTTTGGTAGAGATTGGAGGAGGTTGCGTCAAGGGGATTTGAGTGGGGTCGTGTTTGGTGATATTTCAGATTCTATGATCTCTTTGATAAAGTCTATGCTCCAACGAGATCCAAACATGCGTCCCACAATTGAAGAAATTATTGTCTATAATAATGATAATTCAAAATTTCGGATGTCAACTCATTCATGTGTATAACATTATGTGCTTGTCTATTTAATCATATAACAATAATATATAATATATATAATAATACATGCAGTTGAACCTCCAAAAATTGATTCATCGTCTATTTCTATTATAAACAGTGAATTTTTAAGTCTAAAGTTATACAAAATCTAGTGGGTATATCAAATTTGAGAAATCTTTCAAGAGTTTCAGTTTTGGGAAGTTCAACTATTTACATATAATCTTCATTTTAAACATTCTAACCAGAATGAATACAAAAAATCTATGAACATGTACAAAAGCACGTGTAATTAACTTTACCAATTCAAGATCAGACGTTACTAGTGTTCCGCAAAACGAATCTGTAATTCATTAAATCTTACGAATTCGAATCTAAGTGAGGATTCGTTTGAATGGTATTCGATCCAGATCTGTTATTACTAAAGATACTGATGAAACTAAACTAGAGTGGTGAAATTGGTGTTGAATTGGTGACATTTAGTGAAATTAATTTAACCAGCATTAAACTATCAAAAGCTTATACAACATAAAAACCCTTTTTGGACGAGTTTATTTTCATTAAGAGTCCTTATTTAAACCAGCACAACAGTATCATTATCGAATCCAATATGGTTTCAGATCATAGTTTAGATTCGTCCGATTTGATCGGTGCGGAGCACTAATTTAGCATGAATTTACTCCCAAACTCTAACACCGGTAGTGAAACTTTTTTAGATAAAGAAATATTTGTTCAATAGGCCAATTAAAAAATTTATAGAAGTAATAAAAATAATGGCTAGATACATGCATTCAATTAATTATTCATATATATATATATATATATATAGTAGGTTTTATAAAAGTAAAATTCTGATTAATTAGAAAATGTTCGAAACCAGGGGCTAAAACCAGACTCTAAACCAAGCAAGTGTTAGGTTTTAACTTATTATGGTTCGAAGGTTCATAAAATATAATAATATAACGTTAAACCAAAACTGGACCTAAACTAACTTTACCATCCCTAGTTTGAAGACTAGTAACAATAATATAATATAGTATAATTTAATGCAGTTTATAATAATTTGAAGCAATACTATAGTTCATGTCAAACAAATTCTGATTCACTATATATATATGTGTGTATATATGATATAGGTATCATCTTTTGATTGACAAGAACAATCTATGAGTCTATGACTAGTATACAAAATTGAAATTATGCGTCTTCAACAAAAAAAAAAAAAAAAAAAAGAAAAAAAAGTTTTATATATTAATTACATTTAAGAAAAACTAATAATACAGATATCAATCATATTTGTTTAAAAATAATTAGAATATACCAAAATCTATGACTTATAAGCGAGATATTGTTATTGATCAGGATCAAAAATTCTTGTCTATGTAGAATTACATCAATTGATGTCACGAGTAATACAAGCCCAGA